CCACCCTCGAAGTGCAGTAGAAAGAACGACATTATCGCGGTATTTAGGAGGACTAGGACTTATGGATATAAGTGAACAATTAGAAAAACGGATAACTAATTTAAGAACTTATTTTCATGTGCAGGCGGAGACATCTACTCTTCATCGCGTCATTTGTGCAGTAGATGACACAACACCAATTAAACTGAGGGAACAAGAAATGCGCATAGACCATCTTACTAAGAACGAATAAATGCGCATCTGGATGGGTAAACCTCTGCACGGGCGATATCCGAATGAAGTTAGTCAAGACTATGTCGACAATATAGCGTCGAACTATTGGCTGACATCAGGAAAGATGTTATCATCTCCCATATTTTTAAAACGTTCCTGAAAGTATGCTTGAAAATGACAACTACAAGCTATACTGGAATCGCACTGTGCTCACAGACCAAACTGTAGCACATAATAGACCAGATCTCGTGCTATTTAATAAACTAACAAGACAAACAACTCTAGTCGATGTGGCGATACCTATAATACATATACCTATAGTCAATGTGGCGATACAACAATAATCTGCGTTTTAAGTGCAACGAGAAGATTGCCAAGTACAGAGATATGGAAATACAAATAAGGAGACAATGGAGAATGCAAAGTACCCAGACGATACCTATTATTCTTTTTACCACTGGAGTCATTCCGGAGAACCTCCTAGTAAACATAAAAAAGCTGTGCTACTTTCGACGTCCAAGTGCGTGCGAAAATTTTTGACGTACCAAGTCACCTAGGACTCGATAACACGGAAAGAGTCCCACCAGGGCTTAATCCTTTTAATACCGTAGGTATCTGGGATGAGTGAATTTTCTCCTTTAAGGGAGTGTGAGCCGTATGGCTAAATCTGGATTAATAATATAAATACGACAATTAATAATATAAATTATATACTTTTTGTAAAGAATTTTTACTCCCCACAGAGCTTAAGTAGTTAAGTTGTACAAAGGACATTTCGAAAAGTACTTAGCTGATTCTATTGAGCTACTAGTATCTAGACAGTGGTTTAATGACATATTTTTGACAGAGTTTAATCTTTCATTCAAGCCCCCACGAGTTGACAAATGCCCAAAATGTAACTCGCTTAAAGGCAAAATAGACACAGCTCTAACAGAAGAAATAAAAACTGATGCTAAGCAAAAACTGGAAATTCATCGCAGGCAAGCTGGCGTGGCAAGAGAATAAATAAGTAAAGATTGCATTGAATCCAGAGGAAATAACTTAGATATTCGAATGGTTCAATTTGATCTCCAGCAAAAGAATGATTTTCCAACATTAACTCATATCCAAATGTACTAGAGAGGCATCATGCTCTTCTAGAATGAAACTGTCAGGCAAAGGGGGTCTAACGAGATATCTGCTTGTCTGTACAGGTTTTTTACCAGCAGCGAAATAGGATTCACTACATAAAAGCAAAAGCTAATTCTCTGGTCAGATAAATGTGGTGGCCAAAATAAGAATCAGGTTTTACTTGTTATGTATTTCTTTTTATTTGCAAAAGGTTTCTTTTCAGAAATTACTCATAAATTTTCTGTAAAAAGACATACCTTTCTCGCTTGTGATCGCGATTTTGCCATTATACAGAAAACAAAGAAGCATGCCAAGCTGTTTATACCAAAAGACCTCAGTGAAATTATTGCTTATAGTGGAAAAAATTCGTTTTTAGTAGTCAATACATTTTTTGATTGGATGAATCAAGCTAAATCCATGATAAGCAGTAAAAACTTGCAGATATCTTGGGCTACCATGATTCGAGTAACATCTAAAAACTTTGGTGAAGTTTATATAAAGAAAAATTACGGGGATTTTGATCCATAGCTTAAAATTTCAGTGATTAAAACTGGAATCACTAAGGCGAGTTTTGAGGAGTTGGAAATCGAGATGAAGGAAACCTTTATGCCATTGTCTACCGAAGAAAAATAGAAATATCCAAGTCGTGCTACCATGTTTAGCAGTAGAAACTAACAATTTTTACGAAAACCTTAGTTATTTTTAATTGTTGTTACTTAAGTAAATAAATAAATGCTATCTTTATTTTACAACCTATCACAACAAAATATTGACAATTTGTTTAGGATGTCTACGCGAACTTAAGCTTGCATAAGGGCGGCTAGGAGTGGTTGCTCTAACTATTAAAAAAACATACAGAAATAAAAATAATTTAAACATTAACCGTCATTAAAAGCTTTTGTGTTATTTATTTTTTTTTTTTTTTTTTTATGTATTGGTTATTAAATTGCTTTAAAATAAATATTCTTTGACATCGTATGTTGTTTTTTTTAAATTTGCTTGAAATAATAAGAAATATCAGATAATTCCGTATAAGTTTGATTGTTTATATTTATATTTTAGATTGTTCAGCTGGCCACTTGAGTAAATAAACAAATGAACTTGATGATTACCACTTTGCGAACCTTTTGTGCTACCCGATATTAGGAAATACATTATAATTATAAATTTAATCAAATTTTGAAGCACCTTTCCAGACTACTGTCATTCATTTTAAAATTAACAACATTAGAAAACTTAACAATATAATATAATTAAAAAATAATAGCCACTATTTTTCATATTTCACCTCTAAATTTTGCAGTCTTTATAAAATTCGCCCAGAATTCTGAGACCTTTAAAATAACTGGTGACAGATTATTGAAAATTAAATTTTCCGGACGAAAATCGAGGTTAAATAACAGCATTCGGAATTGAATTAACTTTTATAATACCTAAAACATTTCTGATATTTCAGCTGGAAGTAAATCCCGAGAAAATGAACTCGATGAAATATTAAACAGTTAAAACTCGATTATAGTGTGATATATCCGATAAAATGAAAGTAAAGAAAATTGAATAGAATCGATTAATTAACAATGTTTCATTATTTTCTTTAAACGAAGTATATTGCACGTAATCGGAGGATTAAATATGATTTTCCAGGTTAAATCCAGACCACTCTGGCTATGAGAAGAAATAGAAAAAATAAATATGTATATACAGCGTTAACAGGCCTTTTAAGCCCATTGCTGAATGGATAATTTCGATCGTTTTCTATTTTTAGCCAACAGATTCCAATCTCTGATTCCCATATCTCTGACATCTTCCATCACTAGATCTCTCCATTTATTTCTTGGTTTTCCTCTCTTTTTTGCTCTTAGGTACTCTCCAAGCAATATTCTTGACTAGTCTATTACCTTGCATTCTTTCTAGATGACCGAGCCATTCTAGTCTAAGTTTTTTCGCCACTACGTTTTTGTTATTGTAGAGTTAGCATACAAATGGTACACTTCTGCATTAGTTCGTCTTCTCCATTCTCCCCCTACTACGTTTCCACCAAATATTTTGCGAAGTATCTTTCTTTCCCATGCTTACAATGTGTTCTGTATAGTTTTGTTTATAGTGCATGTATCGGCAGCGTATAGCATTTTGGGTCTAATTATAGTTTTGTATACTCTTATTTTTGTATTACGAGATATAACTTTGGCCTTAATTATTTTGCTCATGTCTTCAGCACACCTGTTGCTTTTTGTCAGTCTCAGGTTGATTTCAGTTTCTTCCTTACATGTCTGATCAATAAGAGTACATATATTCATCCACCTTCTCGAATTCTACTGATCCATCTTTCACCTCCAATTTAAAGGATCCCCTGGTGTTTATTCCTTTTTTGCTCGAGATCTCCATGTACTTCGATTTATTAATATTAACTTTCAGTCCCATTTTAGAGCTTTACCAAATCAGTCTTTTTGCTATATTTGATAGTTCTTTTCTATTTCTTGCAGTGAGAATCACATCATCAGCCTATGCTAAGCATTAGTGCTCCTTGTATAAAATAGTTCCGGACCTATTTATCCCACTAACCCTTACAATTTTTTTTTAGAACTATATTGAATAGCAAAGTAGACAATGGGTCTCCTTGGCAAACACCTTTTTTCACTTCGAATTCTTCTGAAACTGTACTATTGCATCTCACTGCACAAATGGTTTGTCTAATTGTCATTTTTAATAATCTTATTATTTTTTCTGGCACTTGGCATTCTTGGACCAAACGTTAGAGAGCAGTGCAAAATTCAAGATATTGTAAGATGAGGAAGGCAACGTAAGGGGATGTGGTACAATCACATAAGACGAATGATTGCCCTAGAAAATAACCCGCCCGTTTCAAGACCTCCCGGAAGACAACCTAAAAGATGGAGGGACAGTTGGAAATCTACCTTCCAGGAAATAAACCAGAGGCAGCTTCAGAATTAAACAGATCAAAAGATCTCCAATATGTAGAAAAAGAAGAAGGTTAACAAGATGAGATGGCTCTATTAAAGTAAAGTAAAGTCAACAAGTAGACAAAGATCTCCCTTCCACTCTCGAGTTTTTCTAGGTAATATACAGGTATAATTTAACATACAACTTACAGTTTTTTGATGATGGTCTGCTTCTTGAAAATTCAAACACTGACTATAAAATTACAGATTTTATATAAAAACTCTCCAAACAAATCTGGAGAGATTTATTGTGTTACTAACAAGTCTGTATTTAGCTTTGAGATTTTTATATTGTTACGAGTATATATTTCTTAACAGAGATATTGTATTGGTAAGGTTAATGCACTTAACAGTCACCAAAAAAAAGAGGTTGTTTTCCTAACCACCCACAGAAAAGTATGGAGGTGTGGAGTACGGGCAAAGGATAGTACCTCAGAAAACCAATACTAATAATTTAGATGGCACAGCAGATTTGAATAATACTACATACGCTCCATGAGTTTCCAACAAAGAGACAAGAACAGCGTTAAATACTTTACGGAATTTTATAGAGCAAACTAGAAGAATAAAAATGTTATGATCTTTATAACTTACACTAATAAATAGAAATATATGTTACCGCTGTAACTTCAATTTTAATTTAATTCGCCTCTCTAGCTCAAAATTAGTTTAAATGAATGCCAATTTTTTTTAGTAAATCAAAATCAATATTTTCTTTAAGTAATTTTATTTAAAATTTTTACAAGACAAAAAATTGTGTAAAACTCATTTAAATATATCGCAGTTTTTAAACAAAATCTTCGTTTAAATTTGCACAGTAAAGGTTGTACCAGTTGCGGTTTGTTTAGTTCTATTTTTTATTTCCTGAATGATCATTTCATATTTTGTGATAGCCGCCTTCAATTTTTTGATATTTCTTAATATTCTAATATTCTTTTCTTCGGTCCTTTTGATAATATCAACGCTGACATTCATGATGTGCTCAGTTTGTTCATTTAAAGAATTAATTTGAGATGCTAAGAATTTACCACGTAACGCTTCTTCCTATAAAATAATTTGTGATTAGAAGTTTTGTAACTTAAATATCTAGGTTCTAACATTATTTAAAGGTATAGCTAGGATAAACAGGTAAACAGTCAGATCGGTATGGCTAAAACGCTTTTAAACTGATGGTTGTGAATTATAAAATGTTCGTAGTATTATTAAATGCCAAAGAAGCCTAGGAGTCGTACTAAATGATATATAATACAAATATAGAAATAAAAACACAAATTTAACAGACCAGAAGCCTGTATAATAAATAGAAGCAAATGATCTATAATAAAAAACTACGAGTCATCATCAGTGGCATTACAGATCGTTATGAGCCAAAGCCTTCTTCAGAACAATCTTCCATTCGCCCTTGTCTCTGGCAACTCTTCTCCATGCTTTAACTACGATGAATTTTAGATCATACTCTATGTTATCTTGATACCTAAATTTTGGTCTTCGTCTGGATCGTCTTCCCGCTGGTCCTCTTCGGTCGAAAATTTTTCTAATCGTTGCATCTTCATCTCGCCTAATTACATATCCCATCCATCGAAAGTGTGCTAATTTAATAAATTTTACAACGTCAGGTTCCCCAAAACTTCTGTATAATTCAAAGTTTTAGCCCCTACGCCACAAATCCTTTTCTTGGACTCCTCCATATATTTTCTTTAGAATTTTTCTCTCGAAATGTCTAAGCAGTTCTTGGTCGTTCTGTGTGAGGGACCACGTTTCTGACCCGTATGTTAACACTGGCCTTATTAGTGTTTTATATATGGTAATTTTCATTTTTCTGGGTAGTTTTGGGGTCATCTGTTTCCTTAAGCCATAATAGTACTTATTGGCAAGCACTGTTCTTCTTTTAATTTCTTCGCTGACATTGTTGTCTTTGGTCGGCAGCGAGCCCAGGTAGATGAAGGTGTCCACACCTTACAGTTCCAGATCATAAATTAATAGTCTAGTTATCTGGTTTCCTGATCTAGTACAATACATATACTTGGTTTCCTGAGCGTTTATTTTTAATCCCATTCTCAGTGCAGACGCACTTAATGATCGAAATGATTTGATCAGAGATTCCGTGGACCTAGCAATATTATCTATGTCATCTGCATATCCGACCACTTGTACAGATTTATTAAAGATAGTGCCATTCGTATTAATATGGCACTCTCGAATTACTTTTTCTAGTGCAAGGTTAAATAAGAGACACGGCAGCCCATCTCCCTGTCTCAGTCCATTTTTACAATGGAAGGGTATTGAAAAGTCGTTTTGGATTCTGAATATACTCTCTACGCCTGTGAGTGTAAGTTCCGTTAGTCGAACAGGATGAAGCGGCATTTGAAATTCCACCATAGCCTGTAGAAGATTTTGTCTGTTGACTAAGTCCTATGCGGCTTTGAAATCCACGAATATGTGTTGGGTGTGGACTCCGAACTCAGCGTTTTCTCAAGAATCTGCCTGATTGTGAAGATTTGATCCGTTATTGATTTTTTATTGATTAATCAAAGATACAGAAATGGATTGCAAGGAGTAAAAACGAACCTTGGAACAGATATTAGATCTGATCACAATCCTGTAATAGGAAAATTGAAAATTAAGCTTAAGAAAAGTAAAAGAAAATCCATAAAGCAAATTGATATTAACAGCTTAAAACAACCTAAAGTTAAACTCAAAGTTACAGAAAGAATAAATGAGGCAATAGCGGACATCATGACAAGATCTAAACAACCGGCCAGTATAGAAGATAAATGGAATTGTATTAAAACAGCTATCGTAACCACCACCAAGTCTCTGATCGCTTCCCAAAAGTAGAAAAAGAATAATTAGATGACTGACGAAATATTATCAATGATGGACGACCGCAGATCATTTAAAAACAAAGACCGAACCAAACATCAGCAGATCAACCAACAAATACAAAAAGTGTGTTTCAAAGCTAAAGAACAGTGGCTGCTAGACAGGTGTGCAGAAATGGAGGAGTTGGAAGAAAATCATGACCACTTTACCATACATAAACTTATTAAAGAAGTGAAAGATCATACAAAACCTTGCAGTTTTAACAGTATTGTGAAGGACAATAAATTAATTACTGATCCCAAAAATCTACTTCAACATTGGAGAAACTACACACAGCAACTATACTCAGACACAACTAGAAGAAACTCTGAAAGTGAGTATAAAAGTGAACCCTCCCCATTGAAGTCAGAAGTTGTAAGGGCAATCAAACAGAGCAAATGAAGAAAAGCACCAGGCCCAGACGACATATACATAGAGGTTCTAACAATGTTGAGTGAAGACAATTTAGACACCTTGGTAGATCTTTTTGATGACATTAATGGGTTCGGACAAATACCACAGGACTGGCTTCAATCAACCTTTATACTAATCTCAAAAAATCCAAACGCTAATAGTTGCGACCAATTCCGAATGATCAGCTTATTGAGCCAGGTCCTAAAATTCTTCTTAAAGATAATTCATAGAAGAATATACAACAGATGTGAAAGAGACATTAGCCCCACACAGTTCAGTTTCAGACAAGGATTTGGCACAAGAGAAGCACTTTATAGGTTAACTGGCCTACTTCATAAATGCAGAGATCAGCAAAAAGATGTCTTCCTATGCTTTATAGATTACCAGAAAGCATTCGATTGTGTTAATCATTCAGAATTAATAAGATTGCTCCACGAACGTTCGATAGATGAGAATGACCTTAAAATCATAAAGAACCTTTATATGAATTAAGTGGCATCTGTCAGAGTAGGACTGGACTCTACATCATATTTCTAAATCTAAAAAGGTGTGCGACAGGATTGTGTTCTGTCACCCCTCCTTTTTAATCTTTACTCTGAAATGATTTTCGATAGAGCCTTAAGTGACACTGAAGATGGAATCAATATCAACGGACAGACTATTGATAATCTTCGCTATGCTGATGATACAGTCATAATAGCTAATAAAAAATAAATAGATAGAATAAACACTGAAGGAGAACGAGTGGGCTTGAAGATTAATATAGACAAGACGAAGGTAATGGTGGTTAGTAGAACACGAAATATGCAATTGAATATAAGAGTAAACAACAAGAACATCCATAAGGTCCCCAAGTTTAGATATCTCGGTAGTTGGATAACTGAAGATCTAGATCCAGACATAGAGATACGTAGTAGGATTGAGCGAGCGAGAACAGCATTTACTAATATTAGAACCTTGCTAAGCAACAGCAGCCTCAACTTAATGCTTCGATATCGCTTTGTAAAATGTTACATTTACTCCATACTGCTATATGGTGTAGAAACCTAGACCATAAAGGCCAATGTGATGAACCGATTGGATGCCTTTGAAATATGGGTATTTAGAAGATACTTAAAATTCCCTGGACAGATCGCACAACAAATGTCGAAGTATTAAATCGAATTGGCAGAATACGAGAATTGCTGATAATAATAAAAAGAAGAAAAACTGCTTATCTGGGGCATATATTTCGAAATTCCAAGTACCAGTTCTTAAAGCTTATGAAGGAAAACGAGGCATCGGAAGAAAGAAATACTAATGGCTTAAAAACATAAGGGATTGGACAAATCTCGATGCCCATGCACTTTTTAGGGCCACACAAGATTGCGAAGAGTATTCCAGAATTATCGCCAACATCCACTAATTGGACAGGGCACCATAAGAAGAAGTTGATTTATTGGGTCGGAAACCGCACTTCTGTACAATACGTTGGACAATACTTTATATGCTACGTTAAGTAGGGTGATGCCTCTATAATTATCACACACCATCACATCTCCTTTTTTGTGAAGAGGTTGCAAAAAACTACGAGTAGACATCCGAATTATTAAATGCTACGTTTGGTTAGTCCTTCTGTATAGGATTAAAGCCTGAATATTAAAATTAAATACCATGAGACGGCTAAAATGGCTTTACTGCAGAATGCTTTGAATAGCATGAACATAATACATAACAAACCGAACAGTATTTAACACCATAGACTAAACTTATGATATCAATGATTAACACGTTTTCTGCCAGTTAAGACAACACTAGTGTGTTTTTTGATGCTTTTTAGCCTACTGGTTTATATTAATGTCTAATTAATATGACTTAAACCAATAATAAAACTTGTACCACCTATAAGCACTTAAAATACTAATTGAAAAATATGTTGAATATAATAAACCACTCACGTTGATTTTCATAGACTTCAAGAAAGCTTTTGATACCGTGGAATTACCGGCAGTATTAGGAGCATTAGAACAAAGCCGAGTAGACTATAGATATACAAATTTGATAAAACATATATACAACAACGCAACAGCATCTGTTAAACTCCATGACTTTACCGATAAATATAGAATTGAGCGAGGAATTAGACAAAGCGACACCATCTCCCCCCAACTATTCACTGCAGCTCTGGAATATGCCTTTAAAAAACTAGATTGGGCAAAAAGGGGAATAAATATTGATGGTGAATACTTAAGCCACTTGCGCTTTGCAGATGATATTGTCATTATAGCCGAGAGTTTAAATGAAGCTCACAAAATGATGGAAGAACTAAAACAGGCAATAGAACAAATAGGCCTGAACATAAACTTTGAAAAAACAAAATACATGACCAATTTAGTTCCAAGTGATGTCATGAGGGTAGATGGGAATGAAGTACATCAGGTCTTTAGCTATATCTATTTAGGGCATAAAATTAGAATAGGAAAAGACAATCAAACTTGTGAGATCCAGCGTCGCATAGGCTTGGAATGGGCAGCATTTGGCAATATGCGAGATATTCTAAAAGGAACGCTACCAATTTGCTTGAAGAAAAAGGTTTACAACCAATGCATACTGCCAGTAATAACATATGGTTCCGAAACAATAACTTTAACCAAACATTCTGCAAATAAATTGAGAGTAACCCAAAGAAAAATGGAAAGAGCAATGTTGGGAATAACTAGAAGAGATATGGTACCAAATAGGATAGTGAGAGAGAGGACTAAAGTGACAGATGTCATAGAAAAAATTGC